GCCCTGGGCCAGACCCCTGGGCTGAGCCTGGTAGCAGCCTGGCCCTGCCACGTTCTCCCCACAGGCAACACCACATCTTCAGTACTTTGGAGTGCTTTCCCCTCAAAACCTGACTCCTGCCCCTGGACACCTTGGGATGTCTGTTCTAATCTCTCGCGTAGAGATGCAATCTACTTTAACTGACAGGAAATGTGGTGATCTCAGGCCGGGCTTGGCATTCTAGATTCCTTTCATTGTTTCTTAGCTTAGTAAGTACTAAGGAATGCCTAAAGACCTACTGTGGAAAAGCAGAAATCATATGCAATGCCTTATAAACATAATTTGGAATAAATACTATCCACAGCCCCACCAAGACAGGGCAGATTTAGGAAATAAAAAAAAAAATGACTAAAAAAAACAAACAAACAAAAAAAAAAAAAGAAGTGCTACCCAGCTTTTCCTCCAATATTCTCCTCTGACTGCTCCCCCTGGGATCTTGGTCATTACCATTCATTCATTCAACAAACACTTGTTAAGCTGTTACTATAGGGCAGCACTGAGCTTGGAGTAAGCCAAACAGCATAATTGGTCCCAGCCTCCCAGGAGCTTGCAGATGGCTGGGCCTGAGGGCGGGTGGGAGTGGACCACCTGCCTGGGTGATGGGTGACGGGATGTAGCCCTTCCTTGCGTGGGGAGTGGATCTGCTCCAGGGCCAAAGCCTGCTGCCTGCAGTGCTTGTTTCCTTCCACCTTGTCCTCCATTCCCTTGCCTTCACCTCTAAAGATAAAATTTTGCCCCTTTTTTCTAATTCATTGTAAAATCAAGTATGTTTTCCCCTTTAAAATAACAAAACTTCTCTTCCCCCTAACCTTTTAAAGCCACTCTTCAGTGAGGCTTTCCCTGACAGCCTGGGGAGAAGGAGCCCCCTTCATACCTGGACCAAGGCACTCACACATTGGGGGGCATGAAAGAGGGGGGGCTGAGCCTCTGTCTCCCCAACTGAGCTGCATCTTACTAATGGCTTTCTGCCTTCTGCCAAACATGGTGTAGAGCTCACAGTATCAGGCACACGGGCGGCACTCAAAACCTGTGGAAGGGAGGGGGGAATCTGCCTAGTCCCTTCTTTCCAGTTCTACCCTGTCACCATGACAAAAATGAAAGAACACCTAGAGATGTATATGAATATCAAATAAGAATGCCGGGGGTCAGCAGATGGCGTAGAGGTTACATTGCTGGACTCCCATATGGCTGATTGCAGTTCGAGTCCCAGACCCAGTGGCTTAAAACTCATGCTGGGTACATGTGCGATCGTGCCTAAGATCCCAGGAAAGAATGGAGGAGAAGGGATTGCAGCGTGGCTATCCTCTCAGGGAGAGAGGGTGATTGCTCACTTTCCCTCTGTCTCTCTCTCTGGCGAGCTCACTCACCCTAAGGCAAAAACCTCTAAAAATATATATATATAAATAAGAAATGTTGCCTTGGGACCATGAAGCGGCATGGTGGTTATGGTTCTGGACTCCAACATGGCCAACCAAAGATGCAATATCAGTCAGTCTGGGGTTCAGGTCCTGGACCTGGCAGCTTGCTTTTTCACTTTCCCTCTCTCTGTCTCTTTCTGGTGAGTGCAAGTGTCCTATAGCAAAACAATTTAAAAAAATAAAACAATAATGGTAAATAAAATTAAATAAATAATTCTAAAGAAAAAAAGAAAGGCTGTCTTTTAAAAATGCTCAGTTTCAAAAGGTACAGAGTTGCTTCTTTAGTAACTTCACAGGCGAGACCTGCTATAATGATTGATTCCTGATTCCGATTCCTTTCAGGAATCCTATGGCTCCACGCATGGCCCCACTGCTTCACCAGCAGTTCCTCTTGGGCACCACGGTCGCTGGAGTTGACAGCACCGCCGCCCGGGACGTCAGAGGCCTGCTCGTCCCCGTGTCTGCACAGGTCGTCCCACTTAGAGGAATGGGCAGAGAAAACTGGGATTGCCCCATGGCTATACAGCTCCCTCGTTAACTCCATCCAGGCTCGGAGTCTCTTTATTAACAGCTCAGCTCTGGCTCTTTCTGGACGTTTTCCTGCCCTTGGGCAATTTGGGATGTGTCTCTTCATCACGGACATCATGTGCCTCCTATTTGAAGCGCGGTTACTCCCTTCTCGTTTCCTGGCTTGTGCACGCACTTGGGGCAGACCCTGAACCACACTTTCCTCCCACTCCGATCTCTAACTAGGTTGTGAGGGATGTAAGGAAGTACATGGAGTCTGAAGTCTCAAGGTAGAGGTGCTTTCGAAAGTGACCGTTGCATCTTAGTCTTTGGGTGTTTGATGCCATGGAAACCCCCCCTGGGCTGAAGATAATCCTCCCTGAGCCCCAGGGCAACCATCTACACAGCCTGCTCTGGGGCAGAGTAGAGGACTGACTGCCACCTAAAATAGGGCTGGCAGTCCATGGGCCTGGGACAACAAGGAAAGCCAGGGAGAGGCCTCAGAGCAGGGCAACTGAGGTGCCATAGGGCAAGGAAGTACCCGAGAGCTGGGCTCAGCAGACTGGAGTGACAACTTGGCTCTGCCGTTTGCTGCACAGGACTCCCGGAGAATCACCCCAGCTCCTAGTGCCCATTCATTTCTTTAACAGCAGTTCCTAATCTTAGCCACACAAGTACCATGGAGAAGCCTGCT